GTTAACTCAAACATTTCAATTGAACATCAATGTGAAATAAAAACATTCAGTGAATGTTGGGCAACAAAAAATGCCAAGAACCTTTCTGAACTCAAAGCTCACTAAAATGTGTCAATGTCCTTAGACCCTCACATCGTACAAGGAAAAACTTCTGGAGAAAACCCACAGTTTAAAGGGAAACATGGGAGAAACCTCAGGGAGAGCAACAGAGGAGGGATCCCTCTCCCAGGACGGACAGACGTGCAATAGATGCCGTGTGTAAATTGAAAAAAGATAATACATTTGCAACATAGGTAGACCAAATGTTTGGAAATGCATGTGTGTATAATAGGAAGATGAATACACGAGGATATCCATCCAGGACTTATGATCCAGGACCACAGCCACGACTCAAGATCCAGGGCTTGCGATCCGAACTCAGGACCACAGCAACAGGATCAGCCACGACTCAGGATCCCGGCGTAGATAGACACCAAAAAGAAATTTGGGGAAACTGGGTTAATCGGAACATGAGAGTACACAGGTACAGACAGAGAGAAGGAAGAAGTAAGATGTCCCCCGACAAACTAAGCCTATATCAGCAAAACTAGGGGCTGAATCTAATCAGCCCTAACTATAAGCTTTATCAAAAAGGAAGGTCTTGAGCGCACTCTAAAAAACGGATAGGGTGTCTGTTAACACTATAATCAACACAAAACCAATCTACAGCTAAGAAGTAGCTTAGCAGCAGAGGTGGGAAGTGCATTTACTCAAGTACTGTACTTAAGTACAACTATAGAGGTACTTGTACTTTACTTGAGTATTTACAATATATGCTACTTCTACTCCGCTACAGTTCAGAGGTACATGGTGTACTTTTACTCCACTACATGTATTTAATCCCTTTAGTTACTTCACAGATGTGGATGAATGATGTGAAATCTAATCAAGTGTTGAATCAGACTTTAGTTCCACCTGGAGTAAATTCACAAGCTACCCTGCAGTATACAAATTCATTCAAACTAGCTGCACCTTTACCAGCTTTGAGAACACTTTGATGATCAATCATTATAAAACATATCATATATATTATTCTGATATGGACCAATCTGCAAAATGAATACTTTTACTTTTGGTAATTTAACTTTATTTTGATGCTACTTTTAATACAAGATCTGAGTACTTCTCCCACCTCTGAAATACAGCATTTGTCTCAAAGTACACGGTGGTGAAATCTTGTTTACTTATATTCCTAAACACCTCAGTGCAAGATATATAAGACAAACATTCATGCACTATAGTACCAGCAGTAAAAGCACAGCCTCATTTTTAGCCTCATGCTCAGCGGTAAAAGTGTTAAGTATTATCAGTAGCAAAAGTATTTGGTATTATATAAAAGTACTCAGTATTATTCGTAGTAAAATTACTCCGTATTTTAGTAAAAGTACTCAGTATTATCAGTAGTAAAATTATGCAGTTTTATAGTAAAAGTACTCAGTATTATCAGTTTTAAAGCACACAATATTATCAGTATTAAACTATTCAGTGTTACAGTAAACGTACTCAGTATTACCCAGTGTTTCTGCTCCTCTTTGTTCTTCAGTTTATTGATGTTCATCGACTAGCATTAGCCACCTAGCATGGAGCAGCTAACAGCAGATAAGGACCCGGATGAAGAGGTGGAATTGTTCTAGAGCTCCTCTCGTCTCTTCTTCTCCTGAGAGAAACTGGTTATATTCTAATATATCACAGTTTTACAAAGACTGGATCCTGCCTGAGAGCATGGTAGAGAGCAGAAGTACCCGGATGCGGGCCCACAGAGCATGCGCAGTAGTTTTCCTTTAAGCCCGGCCTCCCGTCTCCCGCTCTCAGTCAGATGAATGGAGAGATCAAATAAATCTGAATTCAGCTTCTAGATAATTTTATAAATTTTAAAACCTAATGACTCAAATAAAAGCCATGACTTATTATAATACATCAATGTCCAGTGTATCCTTTACAGTCTCAACGAGTGTATCACTGTTATCAAGGGCGGATAACAGCTGATGCATCCTGGGAGTTCAGTGTTTCCCCTAGGTTTACTGCCTTGGCAGGGTGCTGCGAAAAGTTTTTGCGAACATTTCCGAATATTTTTTTTATCCTCTGGAGCAGAGAGAGGAGCTGTGGATTATTGTTATTGATATCGTACAGTAACAAAGTATTTGTACATTAAAAAGTAATACAGTACAGTGTTACACTGTACTGTATTACTTTTATTCAAACTCTATTCCCTTCTTATCATGTAGCCTACACTTCTTCCTTTCATTGATACATTTAAATCACCTGACTACAGCATATAACATACCTGCTGCAACCCTGTGCTGCTGCTGCTTCTCTCTGCCTCATCCTCTATTGCTGGAGGCAGATCCACCTCATCTGATCTCTGATATGAAAGCAATCGTGTTATGATCATCATATTGAGCTATTGGTGTGAGTCTAACATTAAACAAGCAGTCTGCTTCTCATACATTGCTGACGATACATGACGAGTCACTGCCGCTAAATGCCGGTAGCATCAAGCTAGCAAATCCTGCATTAGCCTCACATCAACAGGTGTAGACAGAACATCCAATTATCCTGAGCTAATTTACTGAATAAACCAACTCACATCTCCTGTCTTTTTTTTCACCCAACTCATTAGACTATTCTCCTGCTGGCGTTTCATTGTTGTTTTCTGTCAAATTCAATACTGTAGTTCAAAACCGCGGTACCTGCTCACCATCTGGGAGCTATTTTTAGAATGCGCACGCTACGTTCGTTGTCGCGTTCGCGCGCGTCCACCTGGGCAGGCTGTGTGTGTCCTTCTCCCCGTGACGATAACGGCTTGCGGTTAAAAAATAATAATAAACAAATTTGAAACTACTGGGGGGACACACAAACGGGACGACAGCAGAGCTGTTGTTCTCCTCCTTTCTTCCGCTCTTGTCTCTGATTGTGAGTGTGTG